GCTGTAGGGAGCGAGCGGAGCGTGAGGACCAGCCACAGGGGCTGGTTTTGCTCTGGGGCAGAGTGGCTGTCTCTGGAGCTCAGTTTCTGCTCAGGCTGTCCTTGGCTCTTCCCTTCTCCCTCTGCCTTTGGTTTCCCCCCTGCCAGGGAGGAACAAAAGAGCAGCGTAAGCCGAGGGATGACAAAATGGATGCTCCTCTTCCTCTGCCTTCCTCCCGGCTCCGCAGCGCCGGGATGCTGCCACCGAGAGGGATGGTGCTGGGGAGCTGAGCTGTGCTGGCTGCCTGGGGGGTGCTGGCCACCTCCTCAATTTTAACAGTGTTTTTTTTTTCCTTTCTCCCCATCACAGAGAGGATTTAGACCAGGAAGAGAAGGCCAGGTTTGGGGAGCTCTGCAGCAGCGAGAACGGGAAGGGCAGGGAGTGGTTTGCCAGATATGTCAGCGCCCAGGTAAGGAGGGAGGTGGGCAAGGAGTGATGATCCTGTCCTGGGGGTTTGGAGCAGCCTGGGCACAGGGCTCAGGTTGGGAGAACTTAGCAATAGCCCAAAGCAATATTTCTGGAGGGCAGGAACTCTGGGAAAGGGAGGAACTTCAGTAGAGGGAGACAGAGAAGTGAATAAACGCATCTGGAGGTGGTTACACCCAGGCTTGGTGCTAAGTGGTGGGGCTGAGGTTGTCCTGGCTGCTTGGTGGCCCTGGCAGCCCCCCTGCAAAGCTCTGCTAACCCCTGGGCTTTGTGCCTGCAGCGCTGCAACTCCAAGTGTGTCTCAGAGCAGACCTTCTACCGCCTGATGCAGTCGTTCGCCCTCGTGCTCTTCGAGTAAGTTGGGGTTGGGTTGCAACCCCCAAAAGCCCCTGAGATCAGAGCCACGGCTCGAGGAGGGGCAGCAGCCACGAGGCTGCTTGGGTTGCCGTTGCTGGGTGGCTTCACCAGATCCTTTCTCCATGGCAGGTGTCACCAGATGGATGACTTCAGCCCTGCCAAGAACCTCATGACCATGTGTTTCACCTACTACTACATGGGTAAGAGGTGCCTGCACCCTTGGGCTTTGGTTGTGGTGGAGACTGGGGGTGAAGGGTGCCCTGTGCATGGGAAGGGGGATGGAGGGGTGCCCAAGCTGGAGTGACTCTCTTACTGAGCACAGAAGAGTCTCCATGGCTGAGAAGATGTGCAAACCTACCAGAGCCCCTCCCTGGGCTGGTAGCTCATGCTGATGCTGGTTGGTCAGTGCTTCTAGCCAGGGATGTTTGTTTGTGGCAATCTCCAGACGTTCCCTGGCCATGGGGGGATGTTATGGGAACGTCCCAGCCCAGAAGCACCTTGGCTGAGGGTGTGGTGGTCACTTCTTCACGGGGGGCTGGATTTTCTATCCGAAATGGGTAGGGGGGAGACCTACAAGAACTGGGATGGAGCTTGGGCCATTTCTATCGGGCTCCTGGTCTCCACGGTCCATCTTTAGCTGGGAGCAGGTCCCCCAGGAGCTGGGAACACCCAGAGCCATGGGGCCAACTGAGCTCCTGACACGTTGCCCGCAGGCAAGCCCCACGCGCTGCCCTTGGAGGCCAAGGAGAAGCCCATGGGCAGCATCGACTCCTACCTGAAGTCAGCAAACACCTGGCTGGCAGAGAAGAAGGACATTGCAGAGAGGCTGCTGAAGAACACATCGGCCAAGACAGAGAACGTCAAGGGCTTCTTTGGGGGCCTGGAGACCAAACTGAAGGGTCCTACCACCAAAAAGAGCGAGTAAGTCCCACTGCATTGGGTGGGCAGGGTGGGCTGAGGTAGGCACCCATCACTTGACTAAGGCAGAAGCCTCCTGGGTGTAGGGTCAACATGAGCCAGGGGTTAGCATGGCCAAGGGAAGATGGTCCCTAGCCTGGTCCCATGCTTCATACTTTGATCCCTGAGCATCTCATGGTGTGGGAGTCCCACGTCCCTTGGGCATGGAGATACATGGTTCCAGGAGATGGTGACGTTGCCTTGTGGACCCTCACCTCCGTTCTGGGTCCCACTGGGATGGACATCACAGTCTCTTAGCCCCTTTTCTGGGTGTGGGGGCAGTGACATGGGAGCAGGGGGTCTTGGGAACCTTCTTCAAATGAAGGTTCTCCCCTTGCCAGGGGGGCCAGGGCTCTGCCACGTGAGCTGTCAGGGGGACAGGCTTTTTGGGGGCTGACACTGATTTCTGTGCCACAGTGAAAGCGAGGACAAACCAAAGGAGAAGCTGAAGAAGACAGGTGAGTGGAGCCAGCTTTGCTTGAGCTGTTGGTCAAGGCATCCCTGGGGAAGGAGAGGGGGCTGGAAGTGGTACCAGATGATCGGCGTTGCTGGAGATGTGGGGTTGGGGAGAAGAGCAGGAAGGATCCATGCTGTCTCCTCTGAGTTCGTAACAGCTCCTTGCTTTGGAGCAACCACAGGTCTTGATCCACAAGGACATCTTGTCCTTGTTGTAGAGGTTTGGGCATCCACTGTCTCTGAGCTTTTGTGCTGCACCAACCTCTCCCCTGGTCACTGGGTGTGCTACCAAACCAGTGGTCCAGTCCCCTGAGTATCTTCCTGGGACATCCCTGCTTGGATCAGAGCTCACATCTGCCCTCAAAGGGTGGCCAAAGCTCCTCTTGATGTTGCTGGGGATGTGTTGGGGATGAGTATTTGGTTGCAAACGTTGCTGCCACGGCTGCCTGGGGGCCAAGCTGGCAGGGGGGGCACAAGGTCTGTGAGTGGGTGGGATGGTGGGAGTCATCCAGACCCTGGCATGTAACTGTGTGTCCCCACAGTTTCCATGCAGAGCCCAGAGGAGGAGAAGAAAGGAGAGAAGATCTACCTGTACATGCACCTCAAGCAGCAGCCCATCTGGTAAAGCCTGCCTGGGGCGAGCTGGCTCCTGCCCAGCCTCAGTCTCCCCAGGGAGGGGAGTTGTTCTCCTTGCCCACACGTTCCCCAGATGTTTGTGAGCACTTTTAAGGTGCAGCTGCCCCTACAAGAGGTGGCTTCTGCACATCCCTTGGGCTCTTGAGAGTGAGTTTGCAGCCACGCAAGGAGCTGGCCCAAAAACGGACCCGATCTACCAGACCTGCTTAGCCCCAGCCCTTGATTCACCCCCTGGGAAATGGGCAAGCTTGGCCTTGGGAGGACTTGGGGACAGGCTGGGGGAGGTGGGAGGTGACCACCCCCAACATCTCCCTCCCTGCAGGCACAACCTGAGGTTTTGGAACGCCGCCTTCTTCGACGCCGTGCACTGCGAGCGCAGGAAGCGCTCCCCCACCACCAGGTAGGACATGGCCCCTGGGACAAGGAGACACCCTGTCCCCTCCAGCCCACCCAGCATTGTCCCCTGTTCCCAACACCCCTGAGCATCACTGGCCACGGGGAGAGGCTCTGCTTCCCACCCCTCATTGCCAATCTGGGGCCACGGGGCTGTGAGGTGGCTGGGACCTGCATCCTCGCCTGAGCTTGGGGAGGTTGAAGGTTTCCTTGCTCCTTTTGGCCTCATTTTCACAAGGACAAAGCCCTAGAGATGTGTCCAGAAGACCCAGCCAGGGTTCAGGCTGTCAATGCTTGGTGAAGCAGCAGATCTAGGGAGAGATGGCTGGTGCAGCCCTTTGGGGATGGGGAGGGATGGGGAGGGATGCTCTGGGTGCCCGCTGTCCCCAGAGGTGCTTCCAGCACAGCATGGAGACCAAGCCCAGCAGCCAGCAAGGATGAGAGCTGGAGATGGCAGCGTGGTCACCTCTGAGAGCTGGGAGGGTCAGGATAACCCCTGCCAAGGAAAGGGGCTGCTCTTTTTTTTGGGGGGGGGGCTGGGTGCAGGGAGGGGCTGGGTGCCCAGGCGTGGGAACCCCACGGGATGCACGGCTGGGCAAGATGCTCCTCAGGCTCGTGCCCATCTCTTGCTCCACCACGGAAAAGCCCCTTCTCTGAGCAGCGACAGCACTTTTTGGAGGAGCCAGCCCCCCCTCCACCCTCCCCAAAACTTGAGCTGAGCCGTGGCAGCCCTGCCTCCCACTGCGGGCTGCTCTGGCAGGCTCAGTGCCCCTGATCCATCTCTGCTTTCTCCTTTATTGCTTTTCTGGTTTTCCCAAGCAACCCACCGAACGAGCTTATTGAACAGCAGTGCAGCCCTAACTGCATTTGCTTTGATTAAGCCCCAAATTAGCAGCAGCAAATGTCTCACAAGGACACACGCCACCGGCAGCTGCTCTCTGCTCCCGGTGCCTTCCTCAATTAATCTGATGGCTGAGCCTGCCTCTGCTGCAGAAACGAGCCTGACTAATGAATGAGCAGCAGCCTGAAGTATCTCAGGAGGGTTGGAAGGTGATGGTGACCCCCACCCTTTACTCCCCTGGAGAGGATATCGGAAGCTACTGGGTGAACTGGGAGGCGGCTGGCTGGATTGGGGATTAAAATCCCTGGCAGGAGGAGCTGGCTGGTGAGGGCTGGTGTTCACAGGGTGGGTTTTAAACACCAGGGATGGTGCTTGGCCACAGCAGGTGGATGGGGGGTTGTCCCTGGTGATGAGGTTGTGACCAGGCCGTGTCCTCCTGCAGCTGCAGCGAGAGCTGGGGAGGAGGGGGGTTAACTCCTCTTGGCGGGGAGGGCAGGGGATGGGGGAAGGAACCAGAACTAAACTCCTCTTTTTCTCTCTCTTTCCTCTCCCTCTGCCTCTAACAACCTTCTTCCATCTCTTCTTCTCTCCTTTCCCCTCCATCCCTCTGTCCTGCATGATCTTTTCACGCACCACTTTTGTCGGCCCCGTTTCTGCTGCCGCTCCAGAGGGAACACTGGGGAGGAAGAGGAGAAGAGGTGTGTCTGTCCCCGTCCCTCCGTGCCCTAGTGCCCAGAGGCCAATGCTCTCCTCAGGTCCAAACCCTGCCCTGGAGATGGGGGGTACCATGTTTCAGGGGGATTCTCGCTCCACCCAGGAGGAAGGGGCTGGTGGAGGTTTGACTTCATCACCCTCTGAAAAGGGCCAGTGAGGTTTAGATTGGTTCCTGGTTAATGCAGCCTTTTAGGAGGAAGCCTGACTGGTGTCAAGCTGTGATATTTTCCTGTGGGAATCAGATGCTTGTGTTGGGAACAGCTCCCTGGGCAGGTTTTGGATGTGAACTGAGTCTCTGTGTAGAAAGCATCCCCCTCTCCTGTCCTTCCCGCTTGCTCCCAGCTTCTGCTGCTGCACAGAGGTGCTGAGGATCCTTTGCCAGCTGGAAAAATTGGTCCTCCTATTATTTTTGGGGAGGCACTCTCATGCTGCCACAGCTAGATAAAAGGAAAACCACAAACGACGGCTGCATGACCCAACTGCAGACGTGTCCTCGGGGCTGCAGAGCTCCAAGCCAACCACATCCACCCGAGCTGGGACCCGTGCAGGGGCAGAGCCATCCCTCCCTTCCCAGAGCTTGGGACCTTCCATCTCGGAGCAGATCCCTCCAAGTGGTGCCATTCTCTTCTTTGAAGCCTGGCAGTAAATCTTCCAGGTGGCCGAGGCCCGTGGCAGCAAATGGATCATGCTGGTGTTGCTCAGGAAGGGCTGAGCGGGGTGAAACTGCTCCCAAAAGTTGAGGGGTGGGGACTGATCCGTGCCAAGCTCACTGGCACGGATCCCACCAGGGATCTGAAATCCCAGGGAGGTGTTAGCAGAGCCCGTGGGGTTACAGACCCTGTGCTTGCCCGTGGCAGGATCAAAGGGGCTGAGCAGAGCCATGTGTGGCTTCCCCCCTTCCCAGGCACGTTGCTGCCAAACACCCAGCCAGAAGCACAGCGAATTTTTCTTGGGCACTTTGATAATTTAATTCTTTTTTTTTCTCTTCCTCTTTCCTCCCTCAAAAACATAAAAAGGCAGGAAAAAAAAAATAGTTACAAACAGGCTTCTTCTGTAAAGGGGCCAGTGAGATCTGTGAAGTTTTGCCTCCAGATTTCAAAGCCCTTTTGTTTGATTCTTCTTCTGTCTTTTCAGCCTCCAGATTTGGATGTGGTTTTTATTTGCTCTCGTAAGCTTCATCTGGGAGAAATGACACCTTTTTTTTTTTTTTATTATGAATTTCCCTTTAAATCCCTTTAAACATATCACAGGAGTCTCCAGAGCTCTGTAGATACAAGCAGCTGACCCTTTGGCGAGGGAAGGTTCAGCTCAGCAGCTTTCACACGCCTGGGCTGAGGTGATGGGGGTGAGGATGGGCTGCCCCTGACTCAGCACTCATCCTTTTCCAGCTTCACCCACTGGGGCTGAGCTAAACCCACCAAATTCCCCCTTCCCAGCTGCCATTTCCACCCTCCACAGCTTCTCCCATCCTGCTTGGTGTACTGGTGAGCTAGAGAGAGCTACAAGCCTGCAGCGTGCTCCTGGTGTTCTCCTCTTCCTTCTCCTCCACGGAGCTGTTTTTCTTCTACCTCTCCTTGTTTTTTCCTTGCTTTTCCTCCTCTTCTCCATGGCTGTAACCTCACCTGAGTTCTGGGGAGGGGGCTGGCTTCACCCTGGAGCTGTGGTTTC